CGGTCCTCGGCCGCGCCGGGGTCGGCAGTCCGGGCCACTGCCCCCCCCCCCCCCCCCCACCACCGCCAGGTGTCGGGCAACTGGCCCTCGGCATAGAAGCAGCGGCATTCTGCTCCTCGGGCTTCTTCGTCGCCTGGCGTTCCTCACTTTCTTCCTCCTAAAATATGTCCTCAGCTGCGCCGTCTCTCGAAGTCGCATCTCCGCCGCGGCAGCGCGCGCGCGTCGCTCCGCCCCGCGCGAAGCGTTTGTCGCAAGCGCCGCATTTGCACGAGGCGCAGTCGCGAGAAGCTACCTCAGAGCATAAGAAACACCGCAAGTCATAAGGGTTGTGCCCTTCGTTCCCCCGCGAAGCGGGCCTCCCGGCTACTGGCGGGGCTGGCGACGGGGGGGCCTGCGCAGCGGCAGCGTTTGGGCCCGCTGCTGGCCCGGTCCCCGACGACGCTGCCGAGGGCGCCCCAAACGAGTTTCACTGTGTCCGATGCTCGTTCAGCTTGCGACGCAGCTTGCCCCCTTCAGCTTTCCGGTTCCCCATCGCACGGGCGGCCCCCTGCTCCGCCTCGCGAGCGCTGGGGGCGACCTTCTCCCCAGCGCGCGCTTCGACTAGCTGCGTCTCTTCCCGTGCGAGTTGCACTTCGGCCGCGGAAGCGCAGCTCTCGCTTGCGACGACGCGAGCCTCTTCGGCCTACTTGGCGGCAGCGGCTGCCTCCGCGGCTAGACGCGCGCGCCGACCCTCTGCTGCCCGCAGCTTCTGGGCCGCCTTTGACGCAGTCGCGCGCCGAGCTTCGCCGGCCCCTTGGACAGCGCGCCCGGCATCTTCAGCGAGTCGCTTGCCCTGGAGTTGCGCATGGCTCGGAAGCAACTGTTATCTCCAGCCTGCTGGCGAGCCCCCCCCTCTCCGCCGTCGCTGCAGAAGCCTGTTCGGCCGCCGCCGCCTTCTTCCAGAACCCGCGCGGCGCTCGCTGGAGCCCCCCGGTCTCGCTCCAACTGGAAGGCAGCGGCTGCTTGCCGTTGCAACTCTGACTGTCGCAGTTGCTCGCGCATCTCAGCCAGGCACCCCTCCCTGGCCCCCATCGTCTCAAACATCATCCTTTCTTCAACTTCTCGCCAATCACGCGCGAACCTGCGCGGCCACGCGCGTTTGGGGCGGCGCGAGGAAGGCGTGGGAAACTCAAATTGCAGAGGCCGCAAATATCCGCGCATTCATGACAGACTGGCTTCCTGCGCTGCCCCGACGAGCCAGGGCGTCGGGATTCGGGGGCCACGGCGCAGCGCGGTCCGTAGTTGGCACGCTTAGCATTAATGCGCATGCTGAATGCGCTCGACCTACCCGATAAGATGGACAAGTCGGACGCCTCCGAACGCGGCCTCGGGGCCCCGGGTCTGCCCCTCTCGGCGCCCCTCCTGCGGGGGAAGCGGGCCCGCGGGTCAGGCGTCTCGGGCGCCGAGGTCGACGGTCGATGGCTCGTCTGGGGCAGATGCGGCGGAGACCCGGGCGCGCAGCTCCCGCCCCCCCCCCCTCCCGCCCTTCCTGGAGCGGGCGCAGTGCCGCGCTCGGGGGCGCCGTCGGATCTGATCCTTTTGCCGGGCGGCGACGCCGCAGGAGGACACAGCGTCTCGCGTCTCTGATTGCTGGCTGCCCTGACAAGACTGCTCGCAGGTTGATCTTCCACGAACTCCCCCCAGTCCCGTTCCAACGAGTCATCGGGTGGAATCGCGGCTTCGTCGCCGCATGCGAGGGGCGCCTGCGCGGGGGGGCGATGATCGCCCGACGGGGCAGGGGATCTAATGCCAATGGCCTCGTGCTCGGTTTCATGTGGTTGGCGGGCGCCGCGGTGAGCGATCGGTCTCGGCGTCGCTCTGCGAGACAAGTTCTTCTCCGACAAAGTCGACTCCGCGTCTTGCTCGCCGTCCGAGAAGTCGATTGATTTCGGGTTAATCAGCGATCGGAACTGGAACCTGATCACCGCCCTCGTACCTGTTGAGCCCCTTGTCGCCTTTGGCCTTCGGAGTGTCCAGGCGAGGCCCGTCGTCGCAGGATGTGCTCCAGCTGATCCTAGGATGGGGATGTTGACTCGGTTATCCAACATAGTCGGCTGAATCTGCTCCAGGAGCGTTCACACTGAAGCCGCGGCGTGGTTCTTCTTTCGGTCGTGCATCATCCATCGAAGGTTGAAACATAGTTTCCTTTTCCTGATGACACCACTTGCATCGATGATAGAACTTTCGGTTGGTAACACAGATGTTGCCAGTTATCCGTGAGGAGGGAGCTTTCGCAGCCCAGTCGATAGGCAACATGTGTTCTTGTTCATCATGGTGCTATCCTTCTTGTCCCTCCTGTAACAGGTCTCTTGCTCAGGTTCACGTGGTGGATTGGATATGTACTTATTGTAGCCATGGCGAGACATGTGGTAATATGCAATTAAGCTGTAACTGGGGACGGCTGGCCGGCGGACGGGCAGCTCTCGCACCTTCTTCCTAATCGCAGCCAAGACAGCTGCGGGCATGTACATGCTAGTAAGGCTACGCAGGGGTGTGGGCCTAGGGTAGGCGGCAGCCTAAGGCAAACCTAAGGTAGCCTAGGGTAGGCCTACCCTGGGGCCCAAGGACTACAGCCGGGGTAAGCCTCGGGCATGGGGCTGGGGGTACGTAGGCCTACGGTCGGCATGGGTGGGCCCAGGGTTTATCTAGGAAGGCCAATGGGAGACAGGGAAGGCCTTCATCCCCAGCTCGACACGTGCACTGGAGATGAATCCTTGGGCTAGAGAAGCGGAGGGAACGAAGGGGGCGCACACACTCGGCAAATGGACGCAAATCCAGGATGGCAGCCCCGCCGCGAGCTGGCATATATGATCGCGGGCTTCGGGTCCTCGGGCCCCCCCCCGCCCCCAGATGGGATGGGTTCCAGGGTCCTCGGAGCCCCCCCCCCCCTCCAGATGGGATGGGGGGAGGAGGAGGAGGAGGAGGAGGAGGAGGAGGAGGAGGAGGAGGAGGAGGAGGAGGAGGAGGAGGACGACGGCAATGACGACGACGACGACGACGACGACGACGACACCGACAACGACGACGACGTAAACGACGACGAGGACAACGACGACGACGTCGACGGCACCAACAGCGGCGGCGGCGACGACGTCGAGCACCGGAGCTGTCAACATGACGCCAATCCCAGCCACACGCCGCACCCACACCGCACCCACAGGGGGGGAGGGAGGGTGAGAGGAGGACCATGGCGTCACCCCGCACAAACCCACAGCAACAACACCACATCCACAGGGGGAGGGGGAGCCACCACGCCACGCCCACGCCCACAGGGGGTCGGGGGGGGGGCATCGCGCGGCGGGGGGGGGGGACCCGATGCTATTAGCATTGGGGGGGGGCCCAAACCCTCGACCATATATTATGATCCTCTGCCTGTTGCTCCCAGTCGTTGGCCTCCTCGTGCGCCTGGTCCTCCTCTTCAACCTTCTCCTTTTCCTCCTCCTCCTCCTCCTCCTCTTTTGCCCTCCCCTCCTCCTTCTCCTCCTCCATCTCCTCCTCCTCCACCTCCTCCTCCTCCTGCACCTCCTCCTCCTCCTCCTCCTCCTCTTCCTCCTCCTCATATTTTGCATCCTGCCTCCGCCTCCTCCCTCCTCCCTCCTCCTCCTCCTCCTCCTCCTCCTCCTCCTCCTCCTCCTCCTCCTCCTCCTCCTCCGCCTGGCAATGACTAGCACCACCACCACCATCACCATAAACATAGTCGTCGTCATCGTCATCGTCATCGTCATCGTCATCGTCATCATCTTCATCGTCATCGTCATCGTCATCGTCATCGTCATCGTCATCGTCATCAGCATCAGCATCAGCATCAGCATCAGCATCAGCATCATCATCATCATCATCATAATCATCACCATCACCATCACCGGCATCCACATCCGCATCATCATCATCATCATCATCATCATCATCACCATCACCGGCATCCACATCCGCATCATCATCATCATCATCAGCATCATCATCATCACCATCACCGGCATCCACATCCGCATCATCATCATCATCATCATCATCATCATCATCATCATCATCATCATCGTCATCAGCATAGCCATCAGCATCATCATCATGATCATCATCGTCATCATCATCGTAATCGTCTTCATTATCAGTATCATTATCATCAGCATCGTCATCATCATCCTAGTTATCTTCATTTTCATACTCATAGTCATAATCTTCGTCGTCGCCACCACCATCATCATCGCCATCACCATCCGCATCATCATCAGCATCAACGATGCCAGTACCATACTCACCATCAACACCGACATCAACGTCAGCATCAGCAAGATCACCATCATGACCACTACCACCATCTTCATCACCATCACCATCAGCATCAGCATCATCATCATCACGATCATCAACATCATCATTATCCTCATCCTCATCCTCGTCCTCATCATCAATCCCCGCCGACTTCTCTCCGCCTCCTTCTCTTTCCCTCCGCCCAGCTCCTTCCCTCCTCCGCATCCCGCTCCCCTGTTCCCTCCGATCGTCCACTCCCACTCCTCATCCTGAGTCGCGTAAGCCTCGACGCGTCGGCATCGGCCTTCCCGTTCAGCGCACGGCGCTGCTCGATGGTACAAGCCGCCTTCCTCCTCCTCCTCCTCCTCCTCCGACCTCCGCATCCCCGCCTCTAAGCTCTTGATCACATGAAGGGCTCGCGCGTCCCCTCCCTCCCCCGCCGCACCCGTGCATATAGATAACCATAGAGATATGTCGTTATCATGTGCTGCTTCTCTCTCTCTCGTCCTCGTTATCTCTCTTTGTGTGTTGTTTTTATATCTCTCAATCTATATATATAATAAATATCATCCATCTCTCCCTCTCTCTCTCTGTCTCTCTCTTCCCCCGCCATCTACACGGCCTGGCCTTGATCACGATCCATCGCATCGACCGGATGTTCTCGAGGCCAGCCCTTCGGGAATCGACATCGAGCGAGATACACACAAGCTGCTCCCAGTTGAATGGCCAAGCAACCAACCCGCCGTGACGAGGCTCAAATTCCACATGCGATGGGGTATGGCAGGAGCCTCCCTCCAGGGCAGGGAGGAGGAGCGATGGGGCGAGGGGGGGAGGAGAAGAAGAACAAAACAATAGACTGAACGCGCGCGCCAGCCCCATGCTTCCGGCCACTCCTCCATTGGCCAGAGTACTCCTTGTACGCTGAGTTCGGTGACTGGCGCCGGTTGGACAAGGCGGGGGAAACATGGCAGGGCATCCACAGTTACCATCAATTTCATCTTCACAACTGCCTCGCGATAGCATCAGCATCGCCGTCACAACCAGAACTCCATTGGAAGCGGATAGAAGCGATGGACGACGATCTCAAGCTGGCCAACCTGGTTGCGCCCGAGATAGTGGTTATAATGCAGAAGTCACCCGTCAATTATCCGAAGGCGCCCCTGGCTCTGCTCAGGAGTTGGGTCCAACGAGAGGGACTCAATGGGCAAACTATCCAATCAACGGACAGCATTCATTGCAACTGTTCGTAGCATGGGAGGAGTGTGACGGGCGTGAAGAAATTTACCATGAGAGATCGCATGTGGCCACACACCGACCAGGACCCCAATTTGGGCTCCCTTTGGGGCACTGGGGCCGTAGTTGGATGGAGCTCCATATGGGGCACGAATTATGTGAGGGGGGCGCCGATTTGAGCGGGGGGGCCACATGACGACACACCCAACAGGCCCTCAGTTGTATGGAGCTCCCTATGGAGCAAGGCACGTCCCATGGGGCAAGGAGCGTGCAGGAAGGGGGGAAAGGGGGGAGGGGGGGGGGGGCCGAACTGCGCGGGGGCGGCCACATGCGGACACATCCAATGGGCCCGAAGTTGACCTCCCCGTGGGGCAAAAAACGCGTGACGGGCGATGCGGAGTAGAGCGGGGGGGGAGGGCAATGTGTGCGGACACACCTAGTCGGCTCGCTCTTGGAGCTCCCGCATGCGGCTCGAAAGGAAGCGAGTGCCGAATTGAGCTCGGCGGCGCGCCAGGGGCAATGCAGAGGGGGCCAGCCTTCTCGAAGGCGTCGGGACTTTACAGAAACCCTCGCGCCTCCTGAGAAGACTTCTGGGCCTTCTCGGAATCCACGGGCGGCTCCTCGGAAGGCGCGAGAACGCCTAAGAAAAGCCGCTGCCTTCGGATGAGGACGGTCCCCTCTGCCTTCCCCTCACCTCGGGCGGGCCGCCCATGAGCGCGCGGACCGTATGCGAAAAAACAATGCAAGGTCATGAGGGGGAGGGAGGTGGACAGAGGAGGAGGAGGAGGGAACTGTCATCACAATGGCAAGGAAGAGGAGGAGGAGGGAGGAGGACAGGGGAGGAGGAGGTGCATGTCTCCGGAGATCCAATGCACGTAAGAGGTTCCCAACAGCCTCTGAAGGCCTCTCCGGAAGCACCGACGAGAAAGCAAGAGCGTCCAGGGCCCTCCGTAGGTGCGGAGGTGGCCGCGGGCGGCGCGCGGCAGCGGCAGGAGGGGCGGGGTTCTTGCGGCGGCAGCACCTGCAGCTAAGGTAGGGGCTCGGATCGACTGCAACATCGATATACACTACCATGTATTCGCGCGTTGAGCTTGCGACAAAAATGCGCAACCTGCTCGCAGATCTGCGGATCGTTCTACACATCTTTCAGTGACTCGACGAACAGGTCAGCTCAGGGAAAAAATCAATTCTGCAGTCGATCCTCTGCTCGACCAGCGGCGGCAACGGCAAGATGATCGGATCGGATCAGCCGGGCCCACGGGCTCGTCAGAAACCACTTGCCATCGCTCGGACGTCCAGTTCCCGTGCATGTTTCGGTTTCGTGCGTGTTTTTTCCCCCAACCAACCTGTGTTGTTGGGTCCTCGTTTTGAAGACGGTCCCCGCGTCTCCTCATCCTCCTCTCATCCTCCTCTCATCCTCCTCTCATCATCATCATCATCATCACCATCATCATCATCATCATCATCATCATCATCATCATCATCATCATCATCATCAGCATCAGCATCAGAATCAGCATCAGCATCATCATCATCATCATCATCATCATCATCATCATCATCATCATCATCGTCATCGTCGTCGACGTCATCATCATCAACATCAGCATCATCAACATCATCACACCTTTCGTAGCCCCATAAGGAGCTCCGCCGAAGGTTCCAGTGGCACAGTTCGCATGCGTCCCCGCCACTGATTTCGGCACACCCCTCACACGATTCGTGGCGCCATAGGAGCTCCGCCGAGGGTCCCAGTGGCACAGTTCGCATGCGTCCCCGCCACTGATTTCGGCACACCCCTCACACGTTTCGTGGCCCTATAGGAGCTCCGCCGAAGGTCCCAGTGGCACAGTTCGCATGCGTCCCCGCCTCTCATTTCGGCACACCCCTCACACGTTTCGTGGCCCCATAGGAGCTCCGCCGAAGGTCCCAGTGGTACAGTTCGCATGCGTCCCCGCCACTGATTTCGGCACACCCCTCAAGCGTCGTGGAATAGGAGCTCCGCCGAAGGTCCCAGTGGCACAGTTCGCATGCGTCCCCGCCACTCATTTCGGCACACCCCTCACACGCTTCGTGGCCCCATAGGAGCTCCGCCGAAGGTCCCAGTGGCACAGTTCGCATGCGTCCCCGCCACTGATTTCGGCACACCCCTCACACGTTTCGTGGCCCCATAGGAACTCCGCCGATGTCCTAGTGGCACAGTTCGCATGCGTCCCCGCCACTCATGCGGCACACCCCTCACATGTTTCGTGGCCCCAAAGGAGCTCCGCCGAAGGTCCCAGTAGCACAGTTCGCATGCGTCCCCGCCATTCATTTCGGCACACCCCTCACACGTTTCGTGGCCCCATAGGAGCTCCGCCGAAGGTCCCAGTGGCACAGTTCGCATGCGTCCCCGCCACTCATTTTCGGCACACCCCTCACACGTTTCGTGGCCCCATAGGAGCTCCGCCGAAGGTCCCAGTGGCACAGTTCGCATGCGTCCCCGCCACTCATTTCGGCCACCCGACACGTTTCGTGGCCCCATAGGAGCTCCGCCGAAGGTCCAGTGGCACAGTCCGCATGCGTCCCCGCCACTCATTTCGGCACACTAACCCCCTCACCGCTTCGTGGCCCCATAGGAGCTCCGCCGAAGGTCCCAGTGGCACAGTCCGCATGCGTCCCCGCAACTCATTTCGGCACACCCCTCACACGTTTCGTGGCCCCATAGGAGCTCCGCCGAAGGTCCCAGTGGCACAATTCGCATGCGTCCCCGACACTCATTTCGGCACACGTTTCGTGGCCCCACAGGGGCTCCGCCGAAGGTCCCAGTGGCACACATGCGTCCCCGCCACTCATTTCGGCACACCCCTCACACGTTTCGTGGCCCCATAGGAGCTCCGCCGAAGGTCCCAGTGGCACAGTTCGCATGCGTCCCCGCCACTCATTTCGGCACACCCCTCACACGCTTCGTGGCCCCATGGGAGCTCCGCCGAAAGTCCCAGTGGCACAATTCGCATGCGTCCCCGCCACTCATTTCGGCACACCCCTCACACGTTCCGTGGCCCATGGGAGCTCCGATCCCAGTGGCACAGTTCTCATGCGTTCCCGCCACTCATTTCGGCACACCCCTGACACGCTTCGTGGCCTCGGGTAGACAGGAGGAGTTGATACGACGGACGGGGAGAAAGGGTGATGATGCTGATGCTGAAGATGATATTGATGATGCTGGTGGTGGTGATGATGATGATGATGCTGATGATACGGTTGCTGACCCTGGTGAATATGATGGTGGTGGCGATGTTGATGATGATAACGATGTTGATGATGATGATGATGATGATGATGATGATGATGATGATGGTGGTGGTGGTGATGATGATGATGTTGATGGTGACGAGGATGTTGGCGATGCTGGTGATCATGGTGGTGAGGATGATGATGGTGTTGATGATGATGATGAGGATGATGATGCCGATGATGATGGTGATGATGATACTGGTGGTGGTGATGATCATGCTGATGCTGATGAACATGATGACTATGATGATGTAGGTGCTGATGGTGCTGATGATGATGACGAGGAGGAGGAGGAGGAGGAGGAGGAGGAGGCGGAGGAGGAGGCGGAGAAGAGGGAGGAAGGGGGAAAATGAGGAGGAGGACGAACGGGAGGAGGGAGGAGGGGGAGGAGGAGGGAGGGGGAGAGGGGGAGGGGAAGATGAGGCGGAGGGATGAAGGTGGCGGAAGAGGAGCAGGAAACGGGCATTAGGTGCGTGGGGTTGGGGAGGGGGGGGAGGAGGAAGGAGGAGAGGGGGTGAGGGTGAGGGGGAGGGAGGAGGAGGAGGAGGAGGAGGAGGAGGAGGAGGAGGAGGAGGAGGAAGGAGGAGAGGAGGAGGAGGAGGAGGAGGAGGAGGCGGAGGGGGGCGGAGGAGGAGGAGGAGGAGGAGGGGAGGGAGGGGGAGGGGGGGGGGGGGCAGAAGGAGGCGGAGAAGGAGGAGGATAATGATGTAGATGGTCCACGACCCCAGCCCCATGCCCCCCCCTCCCTGACGGCTACCTCTGATCGCATTCCCCTTGTAGGGAGACGTTCCAAACGTAGCAGAACAAATGTGGTCTTCCTCTCCAACCCTTCCTCCTCCTCATCCTCCTCCTGTTCCTTCTCCTCAATCGTCTCCTCCTCCTTCTAGACCTCCTCCCTCTCCTTCTCTCTGCACTCTTCTGCCACCTCCGCCTCCTGCCCCCCCCCCCCCCCTCCTCCTCCAACTCATCACCCCCCCTCCGCTCGCTCCTCCTCCCCTCCTCCTCCTCCTCCTTTTCCTCATCCTCCTCCTTCTCCTCATCCTCTCCTCCTCTTCCCCCTCGCCCTCCTCCTCCGCCTCCTCTGCTTCGTCCTCCTGGGCCTCATCCCTTCCCCTCTCCTGCGATCCCTCTCCCCCTCCTCCTCCTCCCCCTCCTCCTACTCCCCCTCTCCTCCTCCTCCTCCTTACTCCTCCGCCTCCTCCCTCCTCCTCTTCATCACCTCCTTTTCCTCCTCCTCCTTCCCTCCTCCTCCCCCTCTCCCCCCTAATCTCCTCCGCCTCCTCCTCTTTCCTCCTCTTCATCCTCCCCCCTCGTCCTCGTCTAAAACTCCCCCTCTCCTCCTCATCCTCCTCCCCGCCGTTTTCCTCTTCTTTTTCCTCCTCTCTCACACCTCATCCAGATCATCATCATCATCATCATAATCAT